ACTCCCACCTGAAGTGATAGACATGCTGGCAGATTCTTAAGGTACAAGTTGCCTTGGCTTTTCAAGGTTTTTATACACAGGCTGAAAATCCTTCCAACATAGGACCATTACTTCCCACAGCATAGCTGTCCTTGGGCATATGCAGCATACGCAGCTGTGTAGGTTACCCAAATATTTGGGGCACCAAATTTCAGGTGCGTGTACACAGTTGCATATGCTGGTGTGCCTACAGATGGCCCTGACCAGCATCTTTTAGTCCCTCTTTGGCCCAGCCTCCCCATGGCTGCTCTCTTGGTCAACAACAAGGCTTCTTTCTCCTTGCCCCTTCCCCTCACCCACATGAGGGCTCCCTTTTCCCACATTGGTAGCAGAGAGGAGTTCTCAGCAGCTCCCTGCTGGCTCCTGAGACGCTCCGAGCCCTGGCAGGAGCCATGCATGGGTCAGGGGAGCAGGGGGGCGAGGGGGAGCGAAGTACTGAGCTTTGTCAGGAGCCATGCATGTGGGGAGGGGAAGCCCTGAGCCCATCAGGAGTGGGACATGGTGTGACTTGCCAGAAGCCCCAAGCCCTGGCAGGAGCTGTACGCCAGGGGAGGGGGCATCCAGGAACTTTTTTTGGGCCCCTAAAAGTATCGTGGGCCCTAGGCACTGTGCCTACTGTGCCTAATGGATAAGTCTGCCCTGGGAGGGGGAGGGGGGCTTATGTGCATAGGGCCCCATAAACTGTAAGGATGGCCCTGTTCCATAGTTTAGTTATTGTCCCTTAGATGTTTCCATGTGTGGTGTTGTAGGGAGAGTGAGGTCTCCCATGATGTCACTTTTCCCCTTTTATATCTTCTTGCCACTTGCTAGAAAGTTCTTCTGCTCTGCCCTGGGTCAAACAATCCCATTTGTAGAGCTATCTTAGAGGTTTCTGTTATACACAGTTCCTGGGGTAATCTCTGTGCTTGTGTGCATTTCCTCAATAAGCCATTAATGTTATTTAACCTTTTTATTATTGTACCTGAAAGGCTGCTTGTGGGTGGTGGTTTCAGTATCATAATATGTTTCAGTAATCACCTACAACAATAACACATAACATCCAATGAAATAGTAATGCCAAGCAGATCTAGACTTTTAGAATGATACCTCAAAACACATATTTTGTACAAAACCTATCCCAAGTATTTGACAAGTGGTGACTATTGAGGTGTCAGGGTGTCATGCTTATATCAGCCAGATATTTTAGGAATGGAAAGCTATGCAGAGCTTGTAAGATCTTAATTTTTTAAAAGTCACATTATGCACTACACTTGAAATTTTATTGTGTACACTATTTCTAATTAATCATGTATATTGTGTCACATGAGTAATTAGAAATACTAATTTCTAAGTAATAGCCTCAAAAAGAGTTCTTGCATCATCAAATTGACAAACTGTATAACTATTGTCTATTTAAATTATGGAGTCTTCTGTGTTTAGGGCCTGTAAGAGTATGTTTATGTACAGTATTTCTATAAACAGACCTTTTCTGTCTGTGTTGGAAGAAGGAGCTGACTGAGAGAATCTGACATAATCTTCCAAAGAAAACATCTGCTTTTAAATATATTTGTTTGGGTTCCAGTATACACACCTAACACATGCATAATTAGATTAAACTACAGAGTTGTCTATTGAGAAGATGTGTTTATCTAAATAAGTTATGCATATTTCATGAATAGAAAAAAGAGAGAATGGTAACTTTTTAAAAAATTCACAAGTTTAGATTTAAAATACGTATCTGTAGTGTAAAGCATGATTTTTTTAATTTGTAAAAAAATTGTTGAATGGAAGTTTTAGTGTGTGCAATCATTGTAGTATATTTAACATGATTTCCCTCCCCCCCCCCCCCCCACGTTATGCATTGTGGTGGTTTGCTATTTTGATATTAATTAATCCTCAAAATGTCATTGTTTCTTACATATTCATTGAAAACATAATTGCACTGTAGAACAAGGTACTAGGAAAGGGCACTAGTGTTGTGGACACAGAAGAAACAGTTTTGGTTATTGGAAATTAGGAGGTAGTTAAGACTTTGGGTACTAGGAAGAGGATGCTTCTTATCTTTCCTTCTATAGGGCATATCACATGGGATCCCACAGGGATCAATTCAGGGTCTGATGTGGTTCAGTATCTTCATCAATGATTTATATAATTTCATAGAGAGTACACGTACAGAGTTTGTTCATGGTACCAAGCTGGGGGAGTTGCAGTTGCTTTGGAGGATAGGATTAAAATTTGAAATAATCTTAACAAACTGAAGAAATGGTCTAAAGTAAATAGGTTGAAATTCATTAAGGACAAATGCAAAGTACTCCATTTAGGAATTTGCACACATGCAACACAGGAAATGACTGTGGGAAGGATTACTGTGGAAAGGAATCTGAGGTCATAGTGGATCACAAGCTAAATATGAGTCAACCGTGTAACACCATTGCAAAAAAAACCAACAACCAAACAAACAAAAAGTAAACGTTCTGGGAGGTATTTGCAGGAGTATTGTAAGCAAGACATGAGAAGTAATTCTTCTGTTCTACACTGTACTGATTAGACCTCAGCTGGAGTTTTGTGTCCAGTTCTGGTTACCACATTTCAGGAAAGATGTAGACAAATTGGAGGAAGTCTATAAGAGAAACAAAAATGATTACAGATCTAGAAAACATGACCTATGAGAGAAGATTGAAAAAATTAAGTTTGTTTAGTCTGGAGAAGAGAATACTGAAGGGAAATGTAATAGTTTTCAAGTACATAAAAGGTTGTTACAAGTAGAAGGAGGGTAAATTGTTTTCATTAATCTCTAAGGATAGGACAAGGAAGAATGTGCTTAAATTGCAGTAAGAGCAGTTTATGTTGGACATGAGAAAAAAAATTCCTAACTATCAGTGTAGTTAAACACTGAAATAAATTTCCTAGGGAGGTTGTGGAATGTCCATCATTGAAGATTTTTAAGTGCAGGTTAGACAAACACCTATCAGGGATGGTCTAGATCGGGACTACAGGCAGTCCCCGGGTTACGTACAAGATAGGGACTGTAGGTTTGTTCTTAAGTTGAATCTGTATGTAAGGCAGAACTGGCATCAGCCGCTGCTGAAACTGACCTGGGCTTCCTGGAATCAGCTGCTGATCAGTTTCAGCAGTGGCTGAATCAGGATGCCTGGGGCAGAGCAGCTGGGGGGCTGCCGGGTTGGTCCAGTAGCGCCAAGGAGCGGTGCTGCGGGACCAACCGGCAGTGCCCCACCTGCTCTACCACAGGCCCCCGGCTTTGCTCCACGTCTCCCTGGTCTGCTGGCTCCGCCAGAAGACCAGGGAGACGTGGAGCAAAGCCGGGGGCCTGTGGTAGAGCAGCTGGGGTGCTGCTGGGTTGGTCCAGTAGCGCCAAGGAGCGGTGCTGCGGGACCAACCGGCAGTGCCCCACCTGCTCTACCACAGGCCCCCGGCTTTGCTCCACGTCTCCCTGGTCTGCTGGCTCCGCCAGAAGACCAGGGAGACGTGGAGCAAAGCCGGGGGCCTGTGGTAGAGCAGCTGGGGTGCTGCTGGGTTGGTCCAGTAGCGCCAAGGAGCGGTGCTGCGGGACCAACCGGCAGTGCCCCACCTGCTCTACCACAGGCCCCCGGCTTTGCTCCACGTCTCCCTGGTCTGCTGGCTCCGCCAGAAGACCAGGGAGACGTGGAGCAAAGCCGGGGGCCTGTGGTAGAGCAGCTGGGGTGCTGCTGGGTTGGTCCAGTAGCGCCAAGGAGCGGTGCTGCGGGACCAACCGGCAGTGCCCCACCTGCTCTACCACAGGCCCCCGGCTTTGCTCCACGTCTCCCTGGTCTGCTGGCTCCGCCAGAAGACCAGGGAGACGTGGAGCAAAGCCGGGGGCCTGTGGTAGAGCAGCTGGGGTGCTGCTGGGTTGGTCCAGTAGCGCCAAGGAGCGGTGCTGCGGGACCAACCGGCAGTGCCCCACCTGCTCTACCACAGGCCCCCGGCTTTGCTCCACGTCTCCCTGGTCTGCTGGCTCCGCCAGAAGACCAGGGAGACGGGGAGCAGCTTTTCTCGCCCCGGAGAAGGCGGGCGGCGGGACCAGGCGTCCCGCTGCTCCAGTTCTCCGGGGCGAGGAATCCCCGTTCGTAACTGCGGATCCGACATAAGTTCAACATGCAGCCCGCAGCCCACAGCCCATTTGTTTGCGGCCCACAGTGCAGTTTGGGTTTATATGTGTTTTAGTAGTTAAATTTCTGAACTCTTGTGAAGCCAAAATAAAAAAGTAGTCAATATAATGGTCTTCTGATGATATGCATTTTAGTAGTTACATTCCTGGACTGTCATTGCTCATTAAAAGTGCTGTCATATGGGTAGAAATCGGGTAAATATTGCATTTTATTAATATCAGCAGAACTGACTTAAACAGGGCCTGTGTGTTGTGTAGTCTTGCCTTAATTTTTGTATTCATGCTGGTCAGTGTGAAAGAAGCTATTTGCATATATTTGCACATATATGCAACCACACTTAAGTTGCGGCCCTTGGCATGTGCTGTGAGTATCATTGTGGCCCCTGGGGCTTCCAAAGTTGAGTAGCCCTGGTCTAGATAATATTTAGTTCTTATATGAGTGCAAGACACTGAACTAGATAACCTCTTGAGGTCCCTTTTGGTCCTACAATTCTATGATTCCACCTTTTTAAACAAGGGTGAAAGTAATCTGGAGTTTGTGGGGAGAGGGGTTTGAATTCCTCTTTCTTCACTCCAGCAAGGCATTAACTGGCCTCAATGTCTACCTTTACACCCAACAATACAACATAGAATGACTTT